TTGAAATCCAATACTTAGACTTAACTCAGATTTCTCTTTATAATCGATGTTCGCCTTGTTACCAACCACTCCTCTGCAAACTCTCCCCTCCATGCTTGGGAATCTAAGCATCACACCTTTACAAACTTTTCCCTCCATGCTTTACAATCTGAGAACCACCCTTTCATGTTTTTCTTCAACTTCACGGTTATTTCTTCCTTCTTGGTTTTCGAACTGAATACTATTTGTGGTGTAGCAGCTTGACCACCTTCCGAGCTGACAACAACTGGTGGTACAGCAGCTTGACCTCCTTTCCTCTGATTCTCCACAGTTCCACTCACTTGTTTCATCAAATCGAACATCATCACGATTATCATCATTAATCAACTCGGTTAAACCACAAAAATGCATGTGACTAGATCGATGATTCTTCTCTAACGTGTCTTCTACATTTGATTTCAGACTCCTCTCCCGAATGCTACTCAACTGCACTTGTATATTTTATTCTTTCCCATCTCTACTCGAGTAATCAACCTTTCGAGTTTTTCCTTTAATTCTAGTATTCGGTCTTTCATGAAAACTGAGTCTCCTTTTTCCATCAACTAACCATACTTAAAAGATTACTCTTGAGATCTGGAACATATAACACATCCCTGATTGACCCGACTAGGTCATCATTCAAGAAAAAACAAATAGTACCTCGACCTTTTACCGAGACCTCTGAGCCATCTCCAAAAGACACATGATCACCCTCAAATTTCTCCAATTTGCTAAATAGGTGCTCTCGTCTCCACACATGTGATTACTCGCACCCTATCCAAATACCATATCGACTTGTGATCGGTATCTCTTGAACGTCATCGCTGCTATTTCTCGTGTCAAGATTGACCATCAATAATATTGCTTCTTTAGCTTTTGTCTCCTCTGCAAGATAGGTCTCACCCACCTTTTGACATTCTTTTGCAAAGTGTCCAATCTCACCACAATTGTAACTCTTGTCCGAGTAGCAATCCTTCTTCCTTCTCGTCATCTCGGCCTCGACCAGAACATCCAGATCGGTACCTCGGGTCCGACCACCACGACCTCGTCCTCGTCCGTTATTCTTCTAAAAATAGAGTGTGTTCTCCTCTTTTGACTCAGCCTTCAACACTTGTATAGTCGTCTCCTCCATCTTCTTCCTCTGATACTCATGGGCTCCAAGCGAACCAGCTAATTACTGAAGCGTGAGTTCAAACAAAATCCGAGAATCTTCTATGGCACAAACTTTGTTCTCAAAATTGTTGGTTAACGATCTTAAGATTTTTCGCATAACCTGATTTTTAGAGATAACCTCTCCATCCAGATTGAGTTCATTCACCACGGTTTTGATACAAGTGAGGTACTCGAAAACTTCTTCTAAGTCTTTCATCCTCATGCTTTCCAATTTGCCATACAGGATCTATAATCGAACTTGTTTGATTCGATCATCATCCTTGAATGTTGTCTCCAGCGTCATCCACACTTCTTTTACAAATTTAACATATGTAATGTTCTGGAAATCAGTATCCTCTACAGCTCGAAACAATGTAAACAGAGTTGCACTATCTTTCTCATGATTCTTGTTTAACTCTCTGAGTGCATTGATCGTACTACTCCCCAGCAACTCTGGAATTTGAGGAGAGTCTTCATTTGGACACTCCATCTATCATAACCGACTTCCTTGGTCAATCAGGGCATAATAGTAACATTTGTCAGATCAATTATCTCACTTTTTCTAAACACTCAACACTAAATCATTAGCTCTCCTGATAAACCCTAGCTCTCACTCTTCTAAAGAACCCTAGTTCTTCTAAAAAAATCCTAGCTCTTGATACCAATTTGATAACAAAAAATTTCTCATAAACTGTAAAACTGTATATTATTGATTCTTTGTCATACCTCAACTGAACAATACAATACTGTATTTATACACAATCCCAAAATCTTCCCTAGATATCATTAATATCAAAATATTCCAACAAACTTCTAATTATTTTGTTATTATCTTTTTATTCTAATACATTCTAAAACTAATTATTTGATTTTATTCTACAAAACCCAAGATATTGTTCCTTGGTAGTATAGGCATCAAACGAAGAGAGATTGATTGAACTTTATCTCATTGACAATCAATTTTAATATGTTTGCATATTTAGCTAAAAACCATATTAGCAGCTAATAACTTAGCTGACTCACAAAACAATGCAAATGGAAATGGTGAGGGAGTTCCAAAATACTATAAAAGTTATACAATCCCTCTCTTAACTGTGGAGGGATTGCAGGCTGCTACTTCCGCTGCCCCTTATGAGCCTAGGCCTGCTTGGACCGTCACTTTTTGTCAAATTAGTATCTATATGTGAAATTTTTTTTTTTTAACTTCTAAAGTCACAGAAGTAGAAAAGCAACCTGGCAGTAACGTTTATTATTCAATTATACATATGAAACAGGAATCAAGGCCATATTACTAATCATAAATTCTAATCAACTTTTATTTCTTTCTGTTGATATTACAACTTCCTTTGGGTTGATTATTAAATCAAAACCTATGCCTGCACATGTTCCCAAGTTTAATATGATAATGAAATGGAAGCTGGTTGTAGTCGTGTAAACAAGAGAAGTGAATTAGCATATTATCATCAAATATGGTCCATGCTATTACAAAATAGGAGCTTACATGCGTGTATATTAATAATGATTAATTAATATATATATATATATATATATATATATATATATATATATATATATATATATATATATATATATATATATATATATATGGAATTGGGGACACTAGAAAACATGCAGGTGAGGGGCCAATTCAAACGTCCACAGATCCAACACTTTGTGTTACTTAAAAATTAATTTTAGCATGATGCCATGAGCAGTGGACACAAGACATGAAGCATTTGCTCCCCATGCCCAGCGTGACCCAAGCCTGTGTTTTTGCCATCTGATAACAACTCTACACATGCACACGAGTGGTGACACAATGTAATACATTTCTTAAAAATTAATTGCCAAAATAGTACTTGCATTATAGCATATTAATTAAGGGAAACGAGGTGTCAGCAAATTCCTTGTGGGAGACCTTGCACTAACATTAATAAGCTTATGTTTAAATTCAAATCTTGATTAGACAGTTTTATATTAAATCAGTGGGGTGCAGCGGAGACACAGACTCAGCTCACCTCCCTTCTTTTATCTCACAACTTTAGCCTTATTTTAATAATTGGAAACAACGAGTGATTCAGTTCTTGTTTCTTCATGAGAGACATGCTCAGAAGTACTGCAGCCATATTGTTTTATCCATCAGAGTAGTCCACACATGCAGATCAATAACAGTATTAAATGCAAAATTTTTAAATTCAATGATTGTCATTGAAAACTTCAATCATCCAAGTGAGAGAGAAAAATGAATAAAAGTGCTGGTTGGAGAGATTTCATTCAGGAGACACTTCCCTAACATTTAAGTGATCATGTTTAGATCCAAATCTTGATTTGTTAGCACTTATTGATATTAGTTTATCATGAGATTCCTTGTGTCCCTAACACCTACTATATATATATTGAGCAGATGGCATTAGCAAGAAGGTAGATCCAAAAACTGAATTCTATTCTAATCATCTAGCCTTCTCCTCCGCTGAAGAAAAATGACAACCTCTCAATTGAACACAAAATCCCATTTCCATGCTCGTTCAAACAGCTTGCCGTCTAGACCACACCCTTTTATCCTACAATGCAATGAGCACTTGGACAGGTTAAAGGCGTCTCAGGGAACCTCCTGTTCCTCTTCATCCCTTAGCCACAAGCTAGGAGGGTTGCAAGATTTACATGAATGTGTAGAAAAATTGTTCCAGCTTCCCCTCTCTCAAGAAGCACTTCACCGTGAGAGGCAAGAAAACTGGGTAGATGAGCTTCTGAATGGATCCTTAAGGCTCTTAGATGTGTGCACAACTGCCAAAGACTCTCTACTACACACAAAAGAGTGCATGCGAGAACTTCAATCAATTATGAGAAGGAGAAAGGGAGGTGAAGTAGAGCTCAGGACTGAGATTAAGAAGTTCTTGACTTCAAGAAAGGTGGTCAAAAAGGCCATCTCAAAAGCCTTGGCAAATTTGAAGGGTAGTACAACAAAATGCAGCATGTCATCTACAAACAAAGATAATGAAACAGTAGTTTTGATTTACTTAATGGAGAACGTGGAATCGGTCACTTTATCTACATTTCAGGCACTACTTCATTTGATCTCAGGGACTACACAATCGAAGTCAGACAGCTGGATTTTTGTTTCCAAGCTAATACAGATAAAGAGAGTGGGATGCTCAAAGTTGGCAGATGAACGTGAATTTGCCCAACTTGATGAAGTATTGCAATCCTGCCTATTATCCCAAACAAGTAAATTTGAAAACATGAGTAGGCTGCACGACCAACTGGAGAAAGTGGAGTCGCTTGTTCAAGATCTTGAAGAAGGTTTTGAACTTCTGTTTAGGCATTTGATAAAAACTAGAGTTTCCCTTCTTAACATCCTCAATCACTAGTTGAGATTATTAGGGAGCCCAAATTTTGTAATGTATATATATATATAGATACATTGAAACATTTTACTCAAACTTTAGTTGTGTTATCATTGAGCAATGATCATTTTGACAGTCTTATTTCATTACAACCCTCCGAGTAAGTACAGTTCTTGATTCTTGATTCCACTTCTTTCACAATTAGAATAAACATAAAATTGGAGACATAGATCCAAGTCATTGACATACTAGTTCTTATCACCCATAATTGTTTAATGGGGTGAGAGGCCACAGAAATGTAATATCCAATAATATTTTATCTGGACCAACTCCAAATGCTTTTTCAAAAACTACTTTTCAATCTGCATATAAATTAATTTCCATTTTAATTCAAACTGTAAGTGGCAAAAGGTGGTTGGAACTTGAAAGGGCAACATAAATCTTACCTACAGTTTTGCTATAATACCTCTGCACTCATTTTCCCTCATGAGTGTCAAACAACTGTACATGAATGTGATATAATCTGTCTATAATTTAGTGAATACATATTGTTTGATTATTTCAACATCTATCACTTATGTACATTCCGCTTACTCTCTACATCTCATCTTTCAACTTCCCTTTTTCTTAGGAAAGTTCACCGATAAAACAAGTGATAGGAGGATCAACCACACCCGTTCCAACTTAAGACTCCCTTCTTTCTTTATATTGTGATTCGCAAGTCCCACGTCTTTTAGAATATTTGATAAACGAATTTTTATAAATCTTCTGACAAGCATGTCGGTTCGCCGAGCTGGGTAACTGTCAGCTTGTGACCCAAGAGGGGGCATGAAGGTGTTAGGAACAAGGCTTTGGCTTTGCTAGGTTGGTTTGGATGTTGCATCTTGCTGGCCTGCCCACTCCAAGCTGGGAGTTGAGCCATGGGAACTGTGCGAAGGCATTGATCTTGTGGTTCCTAGACAGAGGGCACCACGTGAGGCTGGCTTCACAGAGCAGCGATCACCTCTGGCTCTTGACAGTGGAGGGATCACAGGCTTCTGCACTTCCAATCCGATGAGCTTGGCGAGCCTATCTCTTGAACCATCACCTTTTTTATTCTTTTAGCTTGAGAATTTTCATAGTCAAAATGGAAAATTGGAGTTGTGCATTCAAGATCTAGAGATAGGAGTTGATCACCTCTCAAGAAACTTAATTAGAAACTGAGTTTCCCTTCTCAACATCTTCAACCATTAAGCATAGTATCTAAAATGATTTTTGTGCACTCAATTTTCCCCAATGAGTATCACAACTGTACATGAATGTGATTAAATCTACGATTTATTGAATAGATATTAATTATTGTTACTTCAAAATATTGCTGGAAATTATAACAGGAAATCTCTGTTCCTCATACAAATAAGCATACTTCATATTGTAAGGCAGAGATTTCAACTCTTCTTTTGATAGGTACTACTAAACTTGCATTGGTGGCACTACTAAACTTGCATTGGTGGCACTGGTGCATCAATCTTGGCTTCACTTGCTGCAAAATAGTTAGATGTAGGGGTTATGGCAGCAAGTATTTCCTTAGACAAATTACAGACCTGCATCAATCTTGGTTTCACTTGCTGCAAAATAGCTAGATGTAGGGGTTATGACAGCAAGTATTTCCTTAGACAAATTACAGTCCTCCTTAGTGCAAGTGCACTCTATGAATGTTTTAGTGTTCTATTCAAATAAATTTAAAAACTTAGAAAATTCTATCTCAAAATTACTATAAAAAAAATATAATACAATCCTATGCCTAACTTTGTACAAAAGTAAGCAACTTCTGCTTGTTCTATAGGATCGCACATGAAGACCGGTGCTCAAAAACGAGAATGATCCTCTGGTGTGACAAGTCCTACACCTTACACTTGGTGATAAAATACATAGCAGCCAAGATTGAAATATAAGAAAAAACAAGAAGAAAAATCGAAAGACTATCTACTAATCTATATACAAAAAGCAAACAATAACTTGATAGCACATATACTTGATAGAGAAGATAGTCAAGAAGATCTTAAGATGATTGGATGAAGTCAAAAGGAATATTTGCTGTTTAAATTAAAATGTGTGTCTACATTAAGTGTGAAGTACTAATCTTTACTTTAAGTTTAAGCTTCTCTTTAAAGCAAAAGGAAAAAAGTTCCTCAAAAAAATTTTAATTTGTTAAAAAACCATTTAATATGTTAATATGTTCTCCATAATCTTTTTAATCGATTTATTTTTCAATCGATTAATTTCACTTAAACAAATTAAGAATTACATGATTCACATTTTTAATCAATTAAATTCACTTAAATAGATAAAAGACTTTAAGGTTCGTTAATTTAATCTATTAAGAGAAGTTTTTAATATGTTAAAATGTTCTTGACTTAACTTCTACAAATTTAGAATTGTTTTAATCAATTAATACAGTATTTTTATTAATTAATTTGTCTCTAGAAAAATATTACAGAACCATTTTAATCGATTAAACCACATTTGTATCAGTTAAAACAACTTAAATATGTTTTGCTTGAAAACTATCTTTAGTTATTTTATTGATTAAATAACGAATTAATCGATTAAAAGTAACAACTTTTTTCAAATCACATCTATATAAACAGATCTACTACTTCAAATTAAAAACACCTTTGAGAACTGGATATATGTGATTAAAGATCACGTGATCAAGACGAAAGGGCTAAGTGATTTTTTTTTACCCTATGTTATGCTTGTTGCTAAGTTCTTTCAATATTTTGAAGTTGATTTAACAAGAGAATACCAAGAGATGCCCAAAATCACAAATGAAATTGATTATTCAACTCTACGTAAGATGGGCTTTATTAAGATTGATGAGGAGTGGATATCAAATATGAAAGTTGGAATGGGAGATGAGGAAGAAGAAGAGGATGCTCCTCAAGAAGATGTTGGAACTTCTCAAGCTGCAAAACTAGAAGCAGTTGGTGTAGATAACACGGCTAGAATGTTTATGAATATGGACATGGTTCCATACTATGCCCAACCTGATCGTGGCACTCCTCTGTCCCAGTTTGAACGAACCATGTTATCTCAAATGGCTTCTCTATAAGAGAATAAGTGAAAACACATGCAAATGACTTACCAGTACTATCAAGTGTCAAACGCTCAACTGCTCAACATCAATAATCAACTTGGAGATATCTACACCAGATTCAATAATCTGCAGTTTAATCAAGGCTCGTGGGATGACTAAGTCTCTAATTTAAAGTAGGGTCTTATATTTTTGTATCTTAAACACTTTTTTTTTCTTGCTGCAAGACTATAATCTTAACATTACATTCTTATCTAAGACTTTTCTTGTGCCTTAGCTTGATTAATGCCTTTTTTCTTCCTATTTTTGATGAAGTCAAAAGAGGGAGAAAGGATCGACACTAACATCACCAGGCACACACTCAAAAAGATCTTAAGATGATTTGATGAAGTCAAAAGGAAGATTTACTGTCTAAATTCAAGTGTGTGTTTGCATTAAGTGTAAGCATTAATCCTTACTTCAAGTTTAAGCTTCTCTTATAAAGAAAAAGGAAAGAAGTACCTCAATATATTTTTAATCTGTTAAAAGTTCGTTTAATATGTCAATATGTTCTTCAGATGTCTCTTTAATCGATTCATTTTCGTTTTAACCGATTAATATCACTTAAACAGAATAAGAACTACATGATTCACATTTTTAATCGAGCCATTTTCAACTTAATCGATTAAATTCACTTAAACATATAAAAGATTTTAAGTTTCATTGATTTAATCGATTAAAAGAAGTTTCTAATATGTTAAAATATTCTTGACTTAACTTCTAAAAATTCAAAGTTGTTTTAATCGATTAATACAGTATTTTTATCGGTTAATTCGTTTCTGAAAAAAATACATAATTTTTTTAATCGATTAAACCACATTTATATCAGTTAAAACAATTTAAACATGCTTTGTAGAAAATTGTCTTTAGTTATTTTAATCGATTAAATAACGAATTAATCGATTAAAAGTAACAACTTTTCTCAAATCACATCTATATAAACAGATCTGCTACTTCAAATTAAAAACACTTTTAAGAAATCAATCTTGTTATCATTTGTGATTCTTTTTTAGGGAAAAGCTCTCTTTATCTGTTCAAAATCTTTGTGAATTATTTTATAAAATACATTATAGTTCTTTTGCTTGAAGAGACTTGATTTGTGTTTGGATTTCTGTATTAGTCTACTGTATTTCTTCAAATTTGTATCTCTTTATCTTGTTTCTATTCTTGTGGTGTCTGGAAATCTTAGATACTTATTTGTGCAACTAGAAGTGTGGTTGTTATTTCAAGAACTGGTTGTAGTTCTTGGTGTAGATAATATTTCTACTAGTTTTATTTTGTAATTAATAAACTTTTATTAGTAGAATTGGTTGAGAATTGGATGTAGCCCGGTGATTTGGGTGAATCAGTATAAAAATCTTGGTGTTCTTATATCTCTTCTTTCTCATCTTATTGTGTTAAGTGTTTTTCTGTTAATTCAATCAAATAAAGATTAATTTCATTTGATTCTCTAGTTGATAATCTGTAAAATTGCGAAATTTTTTGTAAAAGATCAATTCACCCCCTTCTTGATCTCAACATATATTCCTAACAATGCCTTCATCGACAACGACATCATTGTTTTACAAAACCACATTTTGGCATGGCCTTGCATTTGCATGCAACACTCTCATTGTTAGAGTGAAAAAAAAAAACTAAGTTTTTCCCTTACTAATTAAATGTAATGGTCAACTCAAGTAAGTCCAAGAAAGGCTATAGTGTATCGACGTTATTGTTTGCAAGGAAGGGGAGTTTTATATTAAACATGAAAAACTAAGAAGAATGAACTTAAATATAAAAAAAAATACTAGTTGATGCAAATAAGGAAAAGAAGAAAATTAAGACAAAAAAGAAAATATAGATTCTAAAGAAATCAACACAAAAAGGAAATTGAAACTCCAAAGAATAAAAAGAAAAATGGAGGAAAGAAAGAGAATCAAACTAGACATAACACAAATCGACAATTGTGCATTAAACAAATCAAAATAAAGAAAAATTCAAAAATAAAGCTAAGTTGGAGAAAAAGCTCTGCAACAATGAATAACACTTAAACATTGTAAAACTCAAAAATGATTGAACCAACGTTCGAAACTTAATCAAAAACTTGAACAGTATTGTAACTATGAATAAGATGAATAGAGAAATAAATCGAGCCTAGTTTGCAACTTGACTAGAATTGAGAAACATCAACATCCAAAAACCTAGATGAAATAGCATAAAAAACTATAAAACGAAAATTAAAATGGGCGATGAACAAAATGAAGCAATGGAACAGTAAAAATGAATGTGTCATGTGTTCATAAATTAAAGATACAACATGAAGCAAACTCTCTGCGTTCTTAGTTTCTCTCCATTGACCTTACTGCTTTCTCCAAAGAACGGGAATTCTAGCACAATAACTTTGCAGACAATAAAAATACTAAAAAAGAAGAAGTCCTCCCCTCTTCTTCTAGAGTTCTCCTATATATATACAGAACTTTTCCCACACTAAAAACAAAACAAACAAAATTCTGAAAAGTTCTGCCAATAAATCTTCGCACGACACTGCCAAATAGCATGTAGCCTCCATTCTGTTGTCACTACAGGTTGAAGTGCAAATGGTACGTAGCCTCCTTTCATTTTTGGCTTTGTCGGCTCCTTTTATTTTTGGCTTTGTCGGCTGAGGTGACTTGTGTCCACAATTACCCTAATTTCTCTTTTCGTGGGCCAGAATATTTAAATAGCCTAATACACATGAAGGTTTCATTGAAAAATCGAGAATTCAATAGAGTGTATAAATTGGTTGATCGATCATATACTCAACATATTGTCTTCATCATTGATCCTTAATCGAGAGTGCTCAACACCAAATCATGTTCTTGCACTCAATTTGAAGCTCTTGGAGCCGAGAATCCCATGCAACAGATTTCAGCTTAACCAAATATTTTGTGGAAAATTGAGACAAGATGTAAAACTAAGCTAAGAATGAAAATTAAGACAAATGGAAATATGTAATAAGCTATAGGATGTG